GGGCGGCGACCGCTTTGAAATAATAGCCACATTCGCAACGCTTCGGTTCACTCATATGGACCCACATGTAGTTCAGATGAGTGGCGTCTTCTTCGCACAGACAGCCGATCAGACGCTTGTCTTCAAACGACGGCACGAGGTTTGGCTGCTCTGTAACCATACAAACAAAGGGTCAGTACATCGCGAGACAACAACACAGACACCACCGAAAGGATGACGGGAATGGATGGCTGCGAGGGTTGCGGTCATACCTTTAGTTCCGGGTCCGCGATGTCTTGGTTTGGAGCAAAAGGGGTCGTCAATGCCCTTCTCTTCGGCGAGAAGGAGCAGCTTCTCGAGTCCGGTCGCGTGCTCTATCTCGTCCGGCAACCGGATCTCAGACTCCTTCACATCTGTTCCGTCCACTCGTCGAAGTTTGCCGAAGAACTGGCGCCGACTTTCGTACGAAGTGTTGCCCAACACTGCGGGCAATACATTGCAGCTCTTGAGCAACGACCGGGTGGTCACCGGATGTGACACTAAGCGCAACAATTGTGCCATCGATTCAATGCAAACGCTTTAATCGCTTTCAACCGTTAAATCAATTCAATTGTGATTTCAATAAACACTCAATTGAGTCGTCTATGGCTTTGATGTTTGCCTTTACTCTCGTATAGAGTGTCGAAACGTAGGCTTTAATGCATTCAACGCCTGTTTTCAATGCATTTCAATGCAATTCAATGTCTTTCAAGTGTTTGCGAAAACAGTTCTCTCTATTTGTTTACCAAAAACTCCATTCAATGGCTTATCGTTTGCCCAGAGTAGAGTGATTCGAACCATCTGGCGGAGCAAAATATGACTAAAATGCCCGCCATATGACCGCCATATGGCCGCCATATGGCTTTGTTTACATCACGTGGTATAGTGAATCACACAAGTAACGTAATTATATTGTCATATAAACAATTAATAATATAACGACGTAAGTTATGTTTTAGTTTATATGACTTTTGTCTTACCGCCATATGGCTTTGTTTACATCACGTGGTATAGTGAATCACACAAGTAACGTAATTATATTGTCATATAAACAATTAATAATATAACGACGTAAGTTATGTTTTAGTTTATATGACTTTTGTCTTAAGCAATAGTGAATAGCATCCATTGGCAGCCAATAGAAACATTGTTTGTAATGTTAACAAACGACAATTAAACATAACTCCATTAAAAGCCATAATTCATAACAAAATCAATTCAAACAGATTTATTCACAAACATTGGTTACACACAACAAGTAATCATAAGGAGCGACACTTTAATGCAATGCATAACACATTATAAGTATTGAATTAAAAGCATATAAAAACTAAATAGTGTATTAAAATTAATCATTTATTAATAAGTATAAAGCATTAGTTGTCCGGAGTCTAATGACCGGTGGCCACTAATTTGAATCATCATTTGAGTAATCAATAGTAATGATCGAAACGGTAAGCACCGGTAGCATTGTGTGGCCACATAGGGATAACTAGTAAAAAAATTCCTGACGGCCAACAACAATACTCACAACAATCAATGATGGCTTAAAACACTCGTACAGTTCAATAGTATAAAGTGAAGTACATTTCACATCTATAACCTTTGTAGTTTTCGCATAAACGCCAAAAAACCGGGCCATATGCCCACTTTGGCCACGCATTTTATATGGCCAAAAATGACGGGCATTGTGCCCGCAATATGGCCAAATGCC